CGTGCAGGCTTGGGCATCCTTCCTCAAAAAGGATGCAGCCTGTTTAAAGAAAGTTCAAAGACTAGCCACCCGAATGATTGAAGGCCAAAAAGGTAAGTCATACCAAGACAGGCTAAAAGACTTGGGACTCTTTTCGCTAGAAAGGAGGAGACTAAGGGGAGACTTACTGGAGACCTTTAAGATTGTAAAAGGGCTCTCGGGAGCAATGAAAGAGAGCATTTTCCAGGAGGCTATCCGCCAAGGAACTAGAGGGGATGAGTATAAACTACACAAGCAGCATTGCAACCTGGTTGTTAGATCCAGCTTCTTCAGCAACAGAGTAGTTAACAGTTGGAACCGGTTGCCAAAGGAAGTAGTAGATTTAGGAAGCATGACTGCATTTAAACGCGCCCTGGATGAGCGATGGTTAGAGCTCTTTCCATAGTAGGATCTTTATTGTAATATGGAACGCCTTCATGACCCATGTCCCTTGTTCGCCGATGAGGTGAAAGGAGACGAGCTTTTTCTTTTCCCTTTCAGCAAGGACGCCGTACTGAAGGCAATTCGCAGTGGTGGGTGCACACCTTGTGAGCATACTGCCGAAAGAAATCTGGACGCTCGATTGGCCGTAGCCATTATCAGTCCTGTGCAACCTGCCCTGACCTGACCTGACCTGACCTGCTCTGTCCTGTCCTGGGTGCGGGATAAAACCCTATGGTCCCGGATCTTGAACTGAACAACATTTACAGAACAAAATCAATTCAAAACGCCAATAAGCAACAGAACGAATCGTGGATTCTAAAGTAGTTGCTGTCTCTCTCAAACCTGCGCCACCTGTACTGGAATGTCTTTTTGTTATGTCACATTTCGGTCACTTGAAGGTTGCTAGTGGTCCTGTAAACCATGGCCACTGCCACAGACGAGCACGTTGTGCAGGAAAAAGTTAAGGAAAGTGAGCATGAGCTCCATCCCCTACAGGACACGTAATGAAACTCACATTTGAATATTGTTTATCGTATTTTCAGGTGGACATATTATTTGTTCATTTATAAAAGTGGTGGCGCATGGGAGGAATGCATGAAGAGAGTTGCCACCTTCGGCACCATAGAACATTTTTGGAGCGTTATGTCGAACACAGCCCCACCATCGCGAACGCCGAATGGCACAGACATCTTCATGTTTCGCTCCGACATAGAACCCAAGTGGGAGAACCCAAGTGGGAGCATCCTAAAAATGAGAATGGAGGGCGTTGGCTGATCAACTTGACTCCTGATAGTCCAATCGACAGGTGAATGACATTTAGGTTGTATTTCTTTGTCAGATCTTTTGAAATCGCCCATATAACGTTCACGACAACTTTGCAGTCCGTGTAACATTTTGCAGAGCATTAGTGATAATTTTCTAATGGTGAACAGCAAACCATTAATGTTACTGCGCACACTCAGTAGGCCTTCTAAAGCTGTTATCCTTCCGGTTCTGTACTCAAGTTTCACCAAATTTAGATCTCAGACTAGGCGTTTAATCCTGAAACTGGACAACGCATTCTGTTCAGATTCGGCATGCTTTCGGAGTGTGCATCGCCGCAGTTAGTAGCGTTTTGCTTTAC